CCATGTGTGTTTGTTGCTGTAATATGTCAATGGTCTCATGCTACAGTATTGTATACATGAGATCATGCATGTTTAAGAGTGTTTTATATCTATGGTCTCATGCTACAGTTTGTAAACATGAGACCATGTGTGTTTATGACTGTTTTATGTCTATGGTCTCATGCTACAGTTTGTAAACATGAGACCATGCATGTTTAAGATTGTTTTATGTCAATGGTCTCATGCTACAGTATTGTAAACATGAGATCATGCATGTTTAAGAGTGTTTTATATCTATGGTCTCATGCTACAGTTTGTAAACATGAGACCATGTGTGTTTATGACTGTTTTATGTCTATGGTCTCATGCTACAGTTTGTAAACATGAGACCATGCATGTTTAAGACTGTTTTATGTCTATGGTCTCATGCTACAGTTTGTATACATGAGACCATGCATGTTTGTGACTGTTATATGTCTATGGTCTAATGCTACAGTTTGTAAACATGAGACCATGTGTGTTTGTGACTGTTATATGTCTATGGTCTCATGCTACAGTATTGTAAACATGAGACCATGTGTGTTTATGACTGTTATATGTCTATGGTCTCATGCTACAGTATTATAAATATGAGACCATGTGTGTTTGTGACTGTTATATGTCAATGGTCTCATGCTACAATTTGTAAACATGAGACCATGTGTGTTTGTGATTGTTATATGTCTATGGTCTCATGCTACAGTATTATAAATATGAGACCATGTGTGTTTGTGACTGTTATGTGTCAATGGTCTCATGCTACAGTTTGTATACATGAGACCATGTGTGTTTGTGACTGTTATATGTCTATGGTCTCATGCTACAGTATTATAAATATGAGACCATGTGTGTTTGTGAATGTTATATGTCAATGGTCTCATGCTACAATTTGTAAACATGAGACCATGTGTGTTTGTGATTGTTATATGTCTATGGTCTCATGCTACAGTATTATAAATATGAGACCATGTGTGTTTGTGACTGTTATATGTCAATGGTCTCATGCTACAGTTTGTATACATGAGACCATGTGTGTTTGTGACTGTTATATGTCTATGGTCTCATGCTACAGTATTATAAATATGAGACCATGTGTGTTTGTGACTGTTATATGTCAATGGTCTCATGCTACAGTATTGTAAACATGAGACCATGTGTGTTTATGACTGTTATATGTCTATGGTCTCATGCTACTGTTTGTAAACATGACACCATGTGTGTTTATGACTGTTATGTGTCAATGGTCTCATGCTACAGTTTGTAAACATGAGACCATGCATGTTTAAGATTGTTTTATGTCAATGGTCTCATGCTACAGTATTGTAAACATTAGACCATGTATATGTCTATGGTCTCATGCTACAGTATTGTAAACATGAGACCATGTGTGTTTATGACTGTTTTATGTCTATGGTCTCATGCTACAATTTGTAAACATGAGACCATGTGTGTTTGTGATTGTTATATGTCTATGGTCTCATGCTACAGTATTATAAATATGAGACCATGTGTGTTTGTGACTGTTATATGTCAATGGTCTCATGCTACAGTTTGTATACATGAGACCATGTGTGTTTGTGACTGTTATATGTCAATGGTCTCATGCTACAGTATTATAAATATGAGACCATGTGTGTTTGTGACTGTTATATGTCAATGGTCTCATGCTACAGTATTGTAAACATGAGACCATGTGTGTTTATGACTGTTATATGTCTATGGTCTCATGCTACTGTTTGTAAACATGACACCATGTGTGTTTATGACTGTTATGTGTCAATGGTCTCATGCTACAGTTTGTAAACATGAGACCATGCATGTTTAAGATTGTTTTATGTCAATGGTCTCATGCTACAGTATTGTAAACATAAGACCATGTATATGTCTACGGTCTCATGCTACAGTATTGTAAACATGAGACCATGTGTGTTTATGACTGTTTTATGTCTATGGTCTCATGCTACTGTTTGTAAACATGACACCATGTGTGTTTATGACTGTTATGTGTCAATGGTCTCATGCTACAGTTTGTATACATGAGACCATGTGTGTTTGTGACTGTTATATGTCAATGGTCTCATGCTACAGTATTATAAATATGAGACCATGTGTGTTTGTGATTGTTATATGTCTATGGTCTCATGCTACAGTTTGTAAACATGAGACCATGTGTGTTTGTGATTGTTATATGTCTATGGTCTCATGCTACAGTTTGTAAACATGAGACCATGTTTGTTTGTGACTGTCATATGTCAATGGTCTCATGCTACAGTATTGTAAACATGAGACCATGTGTGTTTGTGACTGTTTTAAGTCTATGGTCTCATGCTACAGTTTGTAAACTTGAGACCATGCATGTTTGTGACTGTTATATGTCAATGGTCTCATGCTACAGTTTGTAAACATGAGACCATCCATGTTTAAGAGTGTTTTATGTCAATGGTCTCATGCTACAGTTTGTAAACATGAGACCATGCATGTTTGTGACTGTTATATGTCAATGGTCTCATGCTACAGTTTGTAAACATGAGACCATCCACGTTTAAGACTATTTTATGTCAATGGTCTCTTACTACAGTGTTGTAAACACAATTAAGACCATGTGTGTTTGTCTGTTCATAGGTGTCAAAGTGTGTTGTCATATTTTCCTCATTGTAAACTGGACATTTTCTTTTTAATAATGAAATAATTAATATCAGGGACCTATATACTAGTAGGTCCCTGGAAATATGGTTATATATTTTTTAGTCAATTTTTATCATACCTGCCTTCTCCATTTTAAAATCTGTTTACAATGCTTCAGAACTCTCACTGCTCCATGGCCCTAAAGACAGAACTAAAGTCTATATTTAAGGTCTAAATTTAAGGCTTGATACAAGTAAAATAATTTCATAATTTTGCAAGGAAACGCTAGGCTTACACTATAACCGGATATGATTAGGGGAAAATAGATGAGAGAACCCATTCCGGTGAGCAATAGCCTCGTTTTGAGTTAGATGAGACCATGGTCTCATAGCCTGTTTCTATAAGTAAATATACCTCAGTTCCTTCTTCATTTTACATGTATTGTTCTACTAAGTAATCCACATAAAATATTGAGCAAATTATGTTTTTCTTATCTCCCCACCAGACACACAAAAGTTAAGAATATAATTCATTACGTTTGCTCTTTATTTATAATTACCAGATGATTACACTTATGATTCAATATTTAACATAACCTTATTTATTTATTTATTTTTATTTATGTATTTATTTATTTGCTTCGGGTTTGTAATACGGACTCAAATAAAATGATCCGCTCCTCAATTGTAACGAAAAGAGCCGATCATCTCCGATTCACACGATTGGTTGTTTACATTCATCGATTCGAGGGAAACACAAAACAGGGAATGAATGAAACACGCGGGAGCCAGTGCTAAAAGAAGTAAGTTTTTATGCCAATGTAACAATTTTGGAATATCACTAAGCAGATAACTACTGTTTCAAAGTTTTTTAAATATGTTTCTCGTGTCAGATTTTTTATTTTTGTTTTTGATCGCTTGATTTTTCACGAAACATGATGTGCCATGTGGTAACGAGAGACAATCCCCTATCATGTGTGTAGAAATTCATTATTTCCTTTCGTAGCATTTAGTGTATAAGGTATCGATACCACCGTGTTTAAAGTCTAGTAATTACTCAATATTTGCTTCAAGTATTTGTTTTCATAAGAATTAGTAATTCATTCATTTAAAAATTTTGAGTTATTAATAAAATACTCCGATAGGCGATTGTATATCGATTGGTTGCATCATCAAGGGGATTATAAAGCATGGCGCGCTTTAACGCGCTGGCGATGCGCGCTTAAAATTCCATTTCCTTTCTAGGAATAAGAGGGAAATACAACACTGGGTAAGACAAAGAAAGACTTCGTGTTTATAGTGAAAATTTAATGCGTGTTTATAGTAAAAATTTAATGAATTTTAATCAAAATTGAAAAATTAAATCTTTACAAAGACTAAAATTTATAAAATCTGAGAAATAATATTCTTTTTACCCACTGAGACATTATCATGATTATAACGTTGATGTTTTTTTTTAAATTTAGAAGTGAAATACCGCCATTTTACATTGTACATAATGCAATAATTAGTTAAAATTTTCATATATATTTCCTCTAATCTGTACAACTAGTTATTATTTTTTCAAGTTTAACATGTAAAATCATTGAGAATTAATAAAATCATGAATGACTTAATAATCATGATAATACACTTAACTTTAAACATGTATTGACATTCAACTAAAATTAAAATGATCGAGAGAAGTATAGATCTTTTCTCAAGATTCATGTAAAAGAAAGTAAAAATATGAAGGTAAATCATGTGATGGGACAGAAAATTAATTTTGCTTTCAACAAACTGACAACAAAGTAGAATGTAAAAACGATTAACTCGTAAGATACACATTGTTTTTCCCCTTTATTTATAAAAGGGACATGGAATACAAATACTGAAGTATTTATCTATTTATTTATTTAATATTTCATTTCAAAAATAGTACCTGTGATATTTTTAGCATCTCGCTGAAGAATTATGATTTTACAGTAAATTTTCACAGATTAAAAAAAGAATTACATGTATGTCCACTTGAATTGACCCCATGTCAGTTTCCATATTATGCACAGCAAGGAACCTCTCTTTTAACATGTTTAAATTTAAAATTTGTTCAGATGTTGATATACTGTTATGTATGTTAAGTGGCAGACTAGGCTAGCAGTGAAGGTCCCATTGTTTTAAGGCTTGCATTATATACTTTCAGTTTGTATGTAATGCTTCTATTCTTTGTAAATGCGAATGGCGACTTATTCAATTTACTGATCTTCTTACTGGAGTATTTTCTTTGCCAGAATTGCCTGCATGCCATTAGGAGGAATTAAGGACTGAGTATCTGTAATATGTGTATTTATCAACAAAAGTATTTCAACATTTTTTTTCAGAATTCTAAAATGTCGAAACCATTCATCTCCTCCACCCCTATGAAGTACGAGAAATCGGACGCCAGTCTACTGACGACGTATACAGAAGTTCCCACAGATGACGTCGTCCCAGAAGGAATCTCTCTCTGTATTGAAAAAGGTGTGCCATGTGTTGTGTAAATTGATGTTGATGTCTTTAAGGCTTTTACGGCCATGAAGTCACAGCTTGTCAAGTTGTGATAGTTTTGAAACGTACAACATTGTTGTCTCATGGTGCTTACTTGAGCATTTTTTATTATTATGCCCCGCCATGAATATGGCCGGGGCATATAGTGTTTGTCATGTCCGTCTTCCATCCTTCCGTCCTTCTGTCCTTCCGTCTGTCCTTCCGTCACACTTTGCGTTTAGCTCTGTTCAAAGCTCAGTTTCAAAGAAACTATCCAAGATATTTTTATCAAACTTCATATGCTGATAGATATTGATGAGGGCTATGCAACTGCATCAACATTTTTTGACCTTGACCTTTCCTTTGACCTTGACCTCACTTTTCTTAAATTAGTGTTTAGCTCAGTTTTAAAGATACCATTCAAGATAGTGTAATGAAACTTCATATGTTGATAACTACTGATGTAAGCTATTCAACTGCATCAACATTTTTTGACCTTGACCTTTCTTTTGACCTTGACCTCACTTTTCTTAAATTAGTGTTTAGCTCAGTTTTAAAGATACCATTCAAGAAAGTGTAATCAAACTTCATATGTTGATACATACTGATGTAAGCTATTCAACTGCATCAACATTTTTTGACCTTGACCTTACTTTTGACCTTGACCTCACTTTTCTTAAATTGGTGTTTAGCTCAGTTTTAAAGATACCATTCAAGATAGTGTAATCAAACTTCATATGTTGATACATACTGATGTATGCTATTCAATTGCATCAACATTTTTTTGACCTTGACCTTTTCTTTGACCTTGACCTCACTTTTCTTAAATTAGTGTTTAGCTCATTTTTAAAGAAACCATTCATAATATTTTCATCAAACTTCATATGCTTATACATACTGATGTAACCTTTTCAACTGCATTAACATTTTTTGACCTTGACCTTTCCTCTGACCTTGACCTCACTTTTCTTAAATTAGTGTCAAACTTCATATGCTGATACATACCGATGAGAGCTATTCAACTGCATCAATGTTTTTTGACCTTTACCTTTCCTTTGACCTTGACCTCACTTTTCTCAATTTGTGTTAAAATGTTGCATTACTAATATACCCTCGGCGGGGCATTCATGTCCTATGGACATATTTCTATTTTTTTTAATATGCTGAATATTGTTAATAAATACAAATTGCCATGTAAAAACTGCAAGCACTTCAGAAAAATAGCTCTGTAGCTCGGAACAACAAAGATATATGTCTGTTGGATTTGCACTTAGCTCTGTTGCTTGTAAAAACTTTTAACCCATCGAAATTTGCTCCCTAAAGGGGAAGAATTCTGCATATTTTTTTCTATTTTATTTCACAGAGAAGGGAGATATAAATGGAACAGCAGACAGTAGCTCCATATTGTCATCTGAAGACAGCAGTAACATGTTGTTTAACAGTTTTGTCAAAATCCACAGTGGGGCTTCTAATTTCTACAAGTCCAACCACTCCCACATCAAAATGGTAAGTAACACACTTATAAAAAAAATGTTAAATTGGTCCATCCAGGAAGTTAAGCCAGTTTAACATTAAATATCCAAATACATGTAAAAAGACAGAAAAAATGCTTCTAGTATTTAATGATAATTGTACTAGTAGTACACTGGCTTCCATTTTATTGGATAGCGGTTTAACTAATATTTCGGCTATTTCAATATAATATCAGAGCACAAAACCATTTCTTATATATTTATTAATAATTTCACCTGATATTCTGATGAGAAAATATTGGAATTTCGTTTTATCAGTAATCTGATACAAAAATTTGGACTATCATAGTATTTGTTGATAATCAGCACCTTCTTCACACCTCCAACTTTATTTGTAAAGCCTTTGTTTACACAGTTTGACACCAATTACCTTGACTGTAATATGAAGAATATCTGGAAAAAAAAATTGTGAAGTTTAGAAAAATGCTGTAAAATCACTTATTTTCGAGGGGTCAAATTTTTGTGGTTTAAGGAAAAATAGCTGGTTGAATTCGTGGTTATAGGAGAACCACTGTACTGTAGTATGAAATTTAAGCATTTCCAGGAGGATATCAATTGTGGATCTCTTCATTCCATGAAAACAACAAAAATTAAACCCTCTCAAAAATGAGTGATTTCACAGTAAAATATTAAAAAAAAGGTATGATGGCATCATATGTATAAAGAACTTTATTCATTGTAAGACACCACATTAACAATTCCTAAGTTTCTGATTTTTTTTCTTTTGTACTACATTTAATAGTTTCCATTGATTATCAATTTATCTAAATTTATTCTGTATTCCTGCAGGGGGTATATGTATCTTTGAGTGTGTTGTACTTGGCCTACTTTGTGGCTGCCATGGTGATCACACACCAAAGGCAGGTCAAGGACCCTACACCTCTTATTGCTGTTACCATGGTGACTGTGACCTGTATCGTTATATGGCTGATGAGGAAGAAATTTGGAGGAAAGATCTCAGAAAAACTGGTTTTCCCCTTCATTAGTGTCCTTGATCAACGTCAGATGCTGGTCAAGGTCATTCAAATGTAGGTCAACATATGTGTAGTTTTTGAAACCTTTTATATTTATATGTGACAAAATTCCCTGTTTATAAAGAAATTTGATAATAAAAATACTTGTCAATTTAATGTATATTAAGTTGTAGACTGATGCTTTCTGAATGAAGATGCAATCAATTTGTAATTAATGAAATTTTAATTTGAATTAATTTTTTTTACACAGAGTGTTTTGCATTCTACTGATTGTGGCAGCCATTGGTGTTACAGCTTTTTCTGTTTGGGATCGGCCCAGGAATCTGATCTCGATCTGTGGTTATGTGTTTTTCTTGTTCATCCTCCTCATCTGCTCTGCCCACCCCACAAAAGTAAGATCCACCCCCCTTCCTTCTTGCAAACATTTTTTTTTGTAAAAAGATACATTTGCTTTACCATATAATGTTAAAATTGTTGGGCAAAACAACATATTTGGTGGTATAGTTTTCATTGCATGGACACAATATCTTATGCATTTTTGTAACAGAAAGCATACTTCTAAAACTATGTCTTTGAACAATATTTCATACATTTCATCAGCAATTATCTTGTAAAACTTTAAAAATTACTAGATGTTTGCTCTTGTTTACATATGTGCACCTTTTTTTTTTGATGTTAAATGCCGATCACGTGTTTTCTAACCTAGGTTAACTGGCGGCCGGTCTTTGGTGGGTTAGCCCTGCAGTTCTTTTTTGCTGCTTTGATCCTGAAGTGGAGTGTTGGTCAAGCAGTGTTTGAATTTTTGGGAAACCAGGTCCAAACCTTTTTAAGTTTTACCAACACAGGAACCAAGTTTGTGTTTGGAGACAAGTACACTGATCACCCTTTTGCCATGATGGTAGGCATTGTATTGTATAAACATTTTTATTGTCATTCTTCAATACAGTATTCTTTAGCAGACATGATTTTCTTTTCATCATTTTTAAAATTGATTTAATTTTTTTTCTTTCAATAAATTATTCACAAAACTTTGCAATTGGGTTAAGTTGGACAAGCTTGAGTGTAATGCTTTTGTGAGACAACCCTCTACCTGAAGTCCCCCTCCCCCTTCCACATCTAATTCTTTTGACAAATATGTCTGCTGAAGAAGAAGGGATGCTCAATCTAAGAGAGATAATTGTAACTCTGATAAATTGCTGTTTCCTTTGTAAAGTTTTAATTTTCAATAATGTTTATCAAATTTTGTCCTGTATGGTACATGTATACAAAATATGCTTGAATTGCTTGTTTTTTTTTCTTCATCTTCTGTCAGAAACTACACAGAAAGTTTATGTGAGCAGAGAGTTATTTCCCTTTGAGGCAGAAATGACTTTTTAAAGATCTTTTACCTTTGATTTAAACTATATTTGAACAGTATTCAACTTCTGTATTGTGTGTTATTTTCTTTTAAGGTACTACCTGTGATTGTGTTCTTCAGCTGTGCCATATCTGTGCTCTACTATATAGGGGCCATGCAGGTTGTCATCAATAAGATCGCCTGGGTTATGAGGATCAGCTTAGGTACATCTGCACCTGAGTCCTTGTGTGCTGCAGGCAATATTTTCATCGGACAAGTAGGTTTTTTCTGTAATTTTTTCAAATAAATTTAATAAGATATTTTTTTTTCATAGGTTGTTTATTCAGTATTTAATGATTAAGTTATATGATAAGAATAAAAAATAAAAACAAATAGAGAGAATCCAGAACAAAAATAAAATTATTTATACTTTGTATTCTATAAACACATGCATGTTGCCTTACACTCAGTGAACCTTGTCTATTTATAGACAGAGGCCCCTATCCTGATTCGTCCTTTCCTGGCCTTAATGACGAAGTCAGAGCTCCATGCCGTCATGGTTGGGGGGTTTGCTACCATTGCTGGGGGAGTACTAGCTGCTTACATATCATTTGGAGTAAGTACAAGAAATTTTACACTCACCAAAATAAGCAGTTGTTAATTTGACAGCTTGCTACTCTTCAGCATTATGGAATGCATTATAAACATTGAGACAATGTGAAACTTTTTGATGTTTTTTAAGAACTTATCATGCAGATGAGTAATTCAGTAAACAAGAATGTCATTTTATACATTTTGTATGCCATGTACTTTAGATCTGAAAAAAAAATTATCACTAGGTAGTAAGTACTCTCATTTATAATGATTTCATACTTTCCAAGATTTATCATGTTTTGATTACTTTTGATATGTTGTTTAAAATTCTTTTACAATAAGTCTCAGCATTTCCTTGTTTTAAACATTTTAGGTGTCAGCTGAGCACCTGTTGTGTGCCTCCGTGATGAATGCTCCCTGTGCCCTGGCTGTGTCCAAACTCCTGTATCCCGAGACCGAGTCCAGCAAACTCAGCAAGGCCTCGGACCTCGACAAAGAGGAAAAGTATAAGCACTATCAGAAAACTTGTTGAAAACTTGGTTTCAATTCGATAAAATTTTCCCATAATTGTAATTTTCCCATAAGAATACAACTTGTGTCATTTTGAATTTCAAAGTCAGACATTTTGGGTACTTCATGTATCTAAAAATGTTTAAATTTTAAATATAACCATAGATTTGCATGTCTATTTTTAGAATTCTGAAAGGAATATTGTGGGAATAAGAGACAAGTATGAAATAGAACAGCAAACATAAACTTCCTCAGTGATTTTATGGCACATTTTAGTAATTTATATTTTTGATATGTAATTGTAGGACAGAGAGAAACATTCTGGAGGCAGCAGCTGCTGGTGCCTCGTCCTCCATTAAACTGGTCGCCAACATTGCTGCTAATCTCATTGCATTTCTGGCTATGTTGGAGTTTGTGAATGCTGTCCTCTCTTGGTTTGGGGGCTTTGTAGGTTATCCTGAGTTCTCATTTCAGGTAAGTATTGGTAGATGCAGGAATTGATGGAAACTGATAACTTTTATTTTAAATCAGTGGAATAAAGTAATGTTGAGTTGGATGATTGACTTAATTTTATCATATTGAATAACTTTTAAAGAATATTACAATATAAATATGTACAATAACATTTGGTAAATCATATTTTATCATTTTTTATATTGAAAAAAATAAAGTCATGCAAGGTTAAATCTTGTATTATTGTAACATGAGTTCTTCATCTACAGATGATCTGCTCTTACGTCTTGATGCCTTTGGCGTACCTGATGGGCGTAGACTGGAAAGACTGTGGCATTGTGGGAGAGCTTATCGGAATCAAAACTTTCCTCAATGAATTCCTTGCATATGGAGAGTTATCAACCTATCTTACCAACCGAAAACAGTGCATTGGTCGTATTTTGGCGGTGAGTAAATAAACAAGTAGCTCTTAAACTGAATTCCTGTTTTTTTTTTCATAAGTTAACATTGAAAAGGAAAAAAAATCTTTTGCAACAGGTTTCTATATTTTCTTTAAGATTTAGACATGCTTGTTTATTTTCCCTTTTATTCAGAATTTATATTTGAAGGCATTTTCCAGTTCTTACATATTTGTCATCAATCAAATTAATATTCTTTATTTTATTTGTGATTTAGGTTCGCTCAGAAATCATAGCCACTTATGCTTTGTGTGGATTTGCCAACTTGAGCTCTATAGGGATTCAGCTTGGGGCTCTAAGTCCCATGGCTCCAAGCAGAAAGGGGGACCTGGCCCAGATTGTACTGAGGGCTCTGTTGGGAGGAATTGTGACCAGTCTCATGACCGCATGTATAGCAGGTACAGTAAACTGTAACTGTTGAACACCCCACCCCCCCACCACTTACAATTTTTTGATCTTCAAAAGCAACTTTGTGGTATTTTATTGCAGAAACTAAAAATTGATTTGTGTTATGGTGTAAGAAGTTGTCCTTTTGTGGCTTTCAAATCCTTGCAACTTCATATTTGGGACGTGCAAATCTTACATAAAATTCTACTACAATTGATTAATTAAAAATAAGTTACCTAAGTTTAAATCAAAAAGAGAAATTGTTTTAATTTTATGTATTAATCAAATCATTTTTGTATATTTTGATTCCAGGCCTGCTTGTCCAGGAACCCCTGATACATCTCGGTTGTCTCAATGCCACTATTGTCAACTCAACCGTGGCTCCCATGATGAACTCAACATCGTCCTTGACCTTTGTGACACGCATCATCGAGCAGACAACTTTATCCGTCTGATGACAATTAAAGGATAGGCAGCCGTATTTATTTTTCGATGATATACAGTCGTATTTATTTCATCCCATTAATGATAGGCAGCCATATTTATTTTTTTACTTGAATTATAAATTTGTGTTGGAGAAGCACAAAAATATATCAGATCATGAGAAGATCAAGATTAATGCTCAATGAGATGAAGGGAGGTTCATTTCTGATATTTTTTGAAATTGTTCTGTGTGTAAATGTGAATGATTTTTTATCAGAATGCGAGAGCTCTTTACCAGATTTACTTATGTATATATGAAGTGTGTTTTAGCCACAGTATTTTTGGGGGGTGCTGATAGTGTTGTGTTCAACCATCAGGTTTACAAATTAATATATTTTATATGCATGTATTTATATAACAGTCCATGTAGAAGCTCTTTCATCATTTATAATATTTTTAGAAGAGTTGCACCCCTTACACTATTTTTAATCACATTTTACTCAAGTTGCTTATTACTAAGAGAACTCAATTTTGTTTTACCTAATTGATATTTTTAAAGAATCTCTCCAATATGGTTGCTGTCAAACACACAAAGAACCTTCTTTTTATCAAATCCCAAAATGTAATTTTTTGTGCTTTAATTATTTTGATTTGCTCATTTTGTCTTTGATACTAACAAAGATTTCTTCTAGGTGATTGGAGTCTAGTCTACTTTTATTTTACTTGTTTATGGGGTGAGAAATACATAACACTTACAAGTAATAATGAAATCCTGGTGTTTTTTTTTTTTTTTTTTTTTCATTTCCTGTATACTTCTTAAATTTTTGTATGATTTGTATCTAGCCTTATTTTTGTTGTTAGCTTTGCTTTTTTAGGATAAGATATCTATGTAATTAGCTTTATAGAATCAAAACTCTATTGAATAGAGGTTAATCAATAGTTATATTTCAAGTACAAGAGGTTTTTGTACTCTATAGTACTTTTAAACATACATAAGACTGAAAGTTTGATATGCTACCCTTTATTTATTTCTTTTTGAAAGAAATCCAATTTTGCCACACATTTATCATTTACGAGAAAACAATCATCATGCACCTCTTATGTTTACAATACAATCTAGAACAAAAGCTTAGTACTAATGTACTTTATTGCCTTATATTTAAATGTATTCTGTTCAATATTGGAGAAGAATGAGGGATGATGTATATATTGTTTAGCTGCACAAAACTGATTCAGAGTATTGAGAATTCTCCTGTCTCACTTACATACGATTATTCTTCAAGTGCTTCTTGATGTTGTGTTGCACTTCAGAGTAGGGAAAAATGTCAAGTAGAAGATATTTAGATTTACAGTTTTACTGCATAAGCACTGAAATTTCAAATTCAAGATATTCAATAGCTACATGTTTCTTCATGTACCAGTATTTTCTCTGCATGTTTCCAGTGTAATATGTTTAGTAGACAATGAAATATAAAATTAGCAGAGACTAAATTACTTAATTTTTTGCTGTTATTGTACTGCCTTTGTTTTGTAGTATAACTCATTTATTTAAGATCTTATAAGAGTAAAAAAAAGAATAAAGTTTAATTTTTTTTTTTTCAAATGGTGTAATATATAGACCATGAAATGACCTTATGCCTAGTTTATCTGATTCACTCAGGTGACCTATTGCTATTTGTCTTTGTATAATTTCAGCTTCTTCTCTGGAATTCAAACAATCAATAATGGGTAAAGGGTGGAAAAAATTTGAATATTATGGTACATGTCAGCTTTCATGTGACCAGAGGGTTGTGGCAGAAACCATTAAAACATTCAGGGCCATCATGCAGTTATAGTCTTGTCGTGACTATAATACATGTACATATTCGCAAAGAACCCTGTACCTGTACATTACTTCCTGAATTCTTTACTCATGGATCAGGATGAATAGGAGGAAAATGAGCAAGTTGGAAATGTTTATGTTAAAGGTGAAAGGGAACAGTGATGGATCTTTGAAAAAAAAAAACAACCTACAAACAATACAAATCTGTAAACAGGGCCTAGAACACGAACACCTTGACATTGCAGGGGTGGGATCAGGTGCCTAGGAGAAGTAAGCATCCTCTGGATCAGTATCACTTGCTTTAAGCCCAATGTATTGATCAGGTGAACGGAATATTCCTAAGTAACACTCGCTGTAAGCCTTATGTATTGATCAGGTAGACGGAATATTACAAGTTTAGCATAAAAACAAAGACCTAACAATTGTTATGAAAGATGTCAGTCAACATAAATCCCATCGATAAGTTATATTTGCTTACAAGGTCATTAAATCGACCATAGAATTTAGAAATACTGACAATAAACGAGATAGTTGAAATCCTTGTAACATCATCTTATCTGTTAGGAGTCTGTCTCGGTTTAAAAATTGATCATACTCGGAGAATGCTTTAGAGTATTGAATAAGCCAGGAAACATCATATGTGATGGCGAAATATTACTACATAAATGAGGAAAGTTGCCGATGGAAAAACTGCATCTCGTTTGTCATACAGTTAGCTACTAGTTGGCTCTAATCGTCTATAGTCGGTAAAACACCCAAATTGAGACATATTTTTCAGACTCCGTGGTTTCTTATTTCGAGTTCAGTGGGATATATCAAGTCTGCATTTGAGTTTAAGTAAGTACTGTTAGTTGATAAAACGTCGTCGATATATTTGAATGTTGAGTTGAAGGTCACAGTAAATGCCTTCTTCTTCTCAGTAGAAGTTATTGAATTAATTCTGTTTCATAGGAATAAAAAACCAGGTTGGCTAATAAAGGAGAAAAGTGCCTGTCTGAATTCCAAAAGTTTCGTATTCACAAAGACTACATCTATAGATGTTGTGAATGAGGGACTCGACATCCTTTAGTATCAACTTCAGAGTACTTGTGCGTAAAATCGGAGTGATATTTGAACAGAGTAATTTTTATTGATTACCAATAACAAGATATGAAAATTTCCGGGTTCAATTTGTATAGAAGAAGCAGCTGTTTTTGATACCAAAAAGACTAGTTTTTTTTAATTAATCACGAGGAAAGATGTATAAAGTGTAGAAAAGTCAATAGATATACAGGTATTTTAATGATATGAACTTTTGAAAAAATCGTGATTTAAAATTTTCTTCAAGTTCTTGAGAATCCACATTTTATTTACTCCCCTTCTAGAATATGCTGTAGAACAGTATGTCTGAAGGTTCTCCTTTACAACAGCTAAAAAGTTTTGTGAGAAATAAAGGGGCTGGGTAAAGCACTCGCTGGACCCGACAGTGCATCTTCGTAACTAAGGATGTTTTTATTTTTTGTTTCGGAGTCCAGTATAGGTAGGCTAGATCGTAATCTTCTTTGACTTGAATGTTACAAGTATTAAAGAATGTAATGGGATTTTGGAGAATTTCTCCTTAGAAAAGGAACTGTGAGTATAAGTAGGATTTCTAGATGTAGAATTAAAACAAAGTTCTTATAAAATACACTTATAATGATGAACCTTTTAAACAAAGACGATATTGGTACAATTCTTGTCTGTGGGAACCATAACATATTGTTCCTGTAGGCCTAGTCTTTTTAATTCTTTTATCATCTCCGATGTAGTGAAAATGGAAGGATAGATGGTTCGCATATTGTCTTTTAAAACTTTCTAACACAATACTTTGATATACATGTATTTCTAAAACACTTAATACATTTTGACAAATTGTCCAGGTCTTCCTCTTCACATTTCACCTAACGTCTGGCATAATCTTCGACAGAATAGAAATGGAGGTCTGCATGCCGCAAATTGAAAGTTCGGGCTCCCCGTTTTTAGAACCTTTTAAAATGATTGCTTTTAGGTGGTCATTTTCAACTATATAAATACTCAGTACTGACCTGTCCAGCGAGACTATAGTTGAAGGAGACAAAGAGCAAGAACATTTTTGAGAATTTTGTTTTAGATGTTCAATATCTAGGCACTGCAATGTGCGTTTATAATTGGAAAGTTAAGAAGCAACAGTTTGGAGATATCTGTATGAAAGGCAGGGTGTAGATTTCAACTTGGAATATTGTGGAATGCAAGAATGAACATTTTTTGAATAAAAATGTTACTTGTTTACTGCATTTATTCATTTGTTGACAAATTTAAGGTTAACAAACCTACGGACGTGTTGTATAGGACTTATTATCTTCCGACACACGTGGCGGCTAAAAGAACCTGTGCTGGCAAACATCCATGTCATAAACAGTATCTTGTATTCTGCCATTGAAATTCAAGTATGGACTTGCTTCAGTTCCTTCAAATAGTCCATTACAAAATTTCAAGAGTACCAAGTAAAGTTTATGTACTTTTAAAAATTCACATTCACACTGGCATATTGTGGGCTTTAAAGATTCCTTGCATTATTTATTGGCTGTTGCAACCATACGGAAATGCAGTGTTAAGTTTTCTTATCCAGTATTTCTTTCATTGTCTACCGACTGGAGTACTTAAAGTCAGGCTTTTAGTTGGATGATATATGTTTTCCCCAAAATTCTAAGTCATTGATAGGATAGAGTGCTCAAGCGAATTGAAATGTTTATGAAGATGTTTATAAAGATTCTGATGGCCCCCATCATTTACTTTAAAACCATACCCCAACATTTTCTTATAGAGGGAACCTTTGGTTTTCCTAATATAAATCAGTCCACAGATAGTATATTCAATTCCACAGACAACATTTGAAGTTTTACAGGTCAAATTTTCTCTAGTTTTAGTTTAAAAAACTTTTTCCAGTGAGCTTAGTATAACACAAAGTACTTGTTATCAAAATATCACAGGTTTTGCAGTAATTAGTAGAACATTTGGAAATGGAACACCTGGGGTCCGAACATTTGGATGGAAATTCGTTAGACAATGTTCCTTATCTCTACACCTGAACTTCTAGGAGACAAGATGTCTTCACAAACTGTTACAGTAAAATGAACAAGTTATCTTTTGTTCAGAATGCTTTGAATTAAATCAGGGCAAAAGGTAATTGAATTAAACTCACAGTCATCAGAATGTAGGATTAATTCTATTTGTGTTTTGTTATACGTCTATAAAGCTTGAAAATATCGTAAGTGACAACAAAGAAGGCGATGGTTGTCAGAACACCAGCACCAAGGACATTCCCAATGACACGTGATGTGGTTCGTGGATCGTCTGCAGAGATCTTCCGGCGAATCCTACTGGAAAGAGTAGATTTTGCGACCAGCAACATTGCTTTAATCCTCGCTATCTTCATTTCCTGCATCCAGGTTTGATTGTCTGTGCCAGAGTCTGTCCTGCACGTACAAGTACATCCTATGAATTGAAATTTTAAAAAAAAAATTATATTATGCATTCAAGAAGTTTTTCTTGACCAAGGGTATGTTAACAAGACATGGAATATATTTATAATGAATGAATAAAAAACTGTCATATCAGGGATGCCTATGTAAAAATAAACAACGAATAAATATATTTCTCAGCGAAATATTTTACAATTTGCTTACAGAAAGTCTGACAACTGCGTTAAAAAAAAATTGCTAACCTCCAAATTCGAAAACATAGGTGCTCGTCTCGTTCATCGACATGTGTTGGGTGTTTAGTTCGATTTCTTGTGACGTTGTGTCTGAAATATTTCCACGAACGTTGTAAGATGGTGACGTCATTCTAAAGAGTTTAGTTGTAAATGATTCAGAGAAAGAAGATTCGTTCTGTGTTAATTGCAGAGTAACAGTCTTGGTTGTTTGAGATTCGGAGTCAGAATTGTGTTCTCTAGAAGCAGTCGATGACAGCGTTAGTTCGTTAATTCCTGTTGAG